CAGAAATCAGCACGTATGTTCACCCCCAAAACTGCACAAATATGTTTAGAGCAACTCTTTGTAACAGTTACGGGGGAGACAACCCGAAGGCCATTGATGGTAAATGGAGAAATTGTGGAACATTCCCACAGCGGAGTCCTGTACAGCATAGCAAAATAGAGCACAACTCCTTGCAGTGTTATGAATGACTCATACAAATGTCCTATGGAGGGCTAGGGATTTAGCTCAGTGGTTCCACCGCCTGCTGTACAAGCACAAGGACCCGAGTTCAATCGCCGGTACCAAATGTCCTATGGGGTAGTGGAAGCTAGACACAAGAAAGTGACACTGGTTTTTCTTTCATAGAAACTTCAAAAATTGGCAAACCTCTAGCCAGCATAGCAGCACATGCCTGAAATTTCAGCACCCAGGAGGCTGAGGAAGGAGGATCACTGTGAGTTCTAAAACAACCTGGGCTCCATGGGGAGATTGTCTCAAAAAACAAAGAAACAGAAAAATAACTTGTCAAACTTCACCCATGGTGGCAGAAGTTGGGATGTAGGTTAACCTTGAAAAGGACACAACCGGTGGAGAGATGGAGGGGCTTTCAGGGCACTGATGTTTGCTTTCTAGGTGATCTAGATGCTGCACAGAGGTTGTTTCGTTTGGGATTTGTGTACTTTTTTGTTGTGTGTGTGTGTACTTTTCTGTCCATGTGTTACCTGTCAATAAAATAAGTTCTAGCAGCTGAGTGGAGTGACACTTGCCTGTCATCCAGCACTCAGGAAGCTGAGGCAGGAGGATCAAGAGTTTGAGGTCCACCTAGGTTACATACATAGCAAGTTCAAGGCCAGCCTAGACTGGATAATGAAACCAAAACAACGATTTAGCTGGAAGAAAAAAATGCTTTGGAAAACTTTTTCGGTTTTTGTTTTTGAGGCAGGGTCTTGCTATGTAGCCCAGGCTGGCCTTGAACTCCAGGACATCCTCCCGCCTCAGCCTCCTGAATGCTAGGATTACAGGTGTGCACCATCATATTCAGCTCAGTGTCGTAATGTTTAAAATAAATAGCTGGGGACCATGAGCATCCTGGCGCCTGGCAGCTGTCCCTGGAGCAGCTGAGTGAAGAGTCAGAGGTGCAGGGTGACTGCCCTAACCCCAGCTGCATCTGCTTCCTGGCCCCTTGATGTCAGACCTTCTGATGGCACTGAAAGCACTGGGTTATTTGGGAGCTGCGTGTGGAGGTCGCTGCCCTTCATTTAAAGGCAAAGGCGCCTCCCCAGGCGCGGGAGCTGCACTTCACTGCTCCGGAAGGATGCGGCTCCTGGGCAGCAGCTCAGCCCTGTGTTGCACCTGGCTGGCAGCTCTGTGCGGTGGCCCTTTGCCTGAGCCTCCCAGCACCAGGACGGGAGACTCACCGTGGCGTCCCTGGGGCAGCTGGAGGCAGGAAGTCTCGGCTTCCTTTGCAATCCCAGAGGCCCCCGGGAACACTCGTTTTCTGATCAGAATAAGCTCAGCTTCCTTTCACAGGACGCTTACACGAGCGCTTGCTGTCATTCTTTTCTTTTTTTTCTTCTCGCCTCCCTCTCCAAGAATCCATGCATTATTCTTTGCATGCCAGTGCTTTGCAGGCAGGAAACTAAACATGAGGCGCCGCTTGGGCCGTGGGGACCTGGACCTGTGACCAGAGTACATGTTTAACTTTTTAAGAAACTTCAAGAAACGCTTAAGTGTTTGAATATTTACATTCCCCTCAGCAGTGTAGGAACATTCCAGAGTTCTACATCCTTGCCACTGTTTTGTTTTTGTTTTTGTTTTGTAAGACAAAATCTTTTTATGTAGTTCAGGCTTGCCTTGAACTCATGTAGCCCAGGCTGACCTTGAACTTGCAGTGATCCTCCTGCCTCAGCCTCCTGAGTGCTGGGATTACAGGCATGTACCCAGCCCAATAGGTTTTTTTGTTTTGTTGGTGTTGTTGTTTGATTTTTTGAGACAGGGTCTGACTATGTAGTTGAGACTGACCTGGAACTCACTATGTACCCCAGGCTGGTCTTGAACTCACAGCAATCCCCCTGGCCCACCCCACCCAGCCGGGACTTTAAGACAAAATCTTTTTATGTAGTTCAGGCTTGCCTTGAACTCATGTAGCCCAGGCTGACCTTGAACTTGCAGTGATCCTCCTGCCTCAGCCTCCTGAGTGCTGGGATTACAGGCATGTACCCAGCCCAATAGGTTTTTTTGTTTTGTTGGTGTTGTTGTTTGATTTTTTGAGACAGGGTCTGACTATGTAGTTGAGACTGACCTGGAACTCACTATGTACCCCAGGCTGGTCTTGAACTCACAGCAATCCCCCTGCCTCAGCCTCCCAAGTGCTGGGATTACAGGCATGTGCCACCATGCCCAGCTAGCCCAATAGTTTTTTATTTTGATGAAGTTCAATTCATTGGTCATTTTCTTTGGTAGTTCATACTGTTTGTGTTCTAAGAAAGCTTTGCCACTAAAATGCCATCCAGGAAATTTTTGATATTTTTAATAACATCTTTTAAACTAACTTTTTATGTAAAAACCTTTCCTTGCTTGTGAAAACATTTCCAGAACAGTTCCCAGGCTCCCTCTTTTGGCAAGAACACTCTTCTAAAAAAATGATTGGACATAAGGCATTTCACAGAGTTAAAAAGTAACCTAAAACAAGGTGTGATAGCACACACCTGTGATCCCAGCACTCTGGAGGCTGAGGCAGGAGGGTCACTGGGAGTTTGAGGCCATCCTGGGCTACACAGTGAGTTCAAGGCCCGTGTGAACTAGCAGTGAGACTCTGTCTTAAAAAAAAACAAAGCAAAACAAAAGGGTGTCCCCTTAGGGAGGTGTTATAATAAATGTATGAGGTTGGTGAGCACCCATGTTTGCAGCCTCCCCCGCATCCTGCGGTATCAGTGGCTCCAAGCTTTAGCAGACTCAGAACAGCCTGCACAGCAGAAGGGGAGCAGGGAGGCCAGAACCCTCCTCCAGTGCTGCTGGGGCAGTGGCTGTGCTGCAGAGTGACTGTCATTCTAGCAACTAGAGCCAGGGGCTCAGGTCCAAAATGACAGGTGAGATTCAGGGGCCACCATGCCCTGCTCCCTGTCCTTCCTATTAGAGGGACAAGTGCCACCCTCCCCACCAAAGCGCATTGCCTCCACCTGTGACATGCGCTCTATTCCCGCCTGTCTTCTTGGGTCTTTATGCTTTTAATATGTATGTTACATGTTTAAGAACCTATATATCAAATGCAGGGCTGGGGATTTAGCTCAATGGTTCTGCTACCTGCCTTGCAAGGTCTCAAGTTCAATCCCTGGTACCAAAAAAAAAAAAAAAAAAGCAAGAAAGAGAATCTATATGTCAAGTGCACATATAAGAATGCCTTCTCCTGTAATGCCAGCACTTGGGAGGCTGAGGCAGGAGGACTTTGGCAAAGTATAAGGCTAACCTGGGCTACATAGTGAATTTGAGGCCAGCCTCAAGTACATATTAGAAGTTGTCTCAAACAAAAACAAACAAAACAAAAAAAGAATGCCCTTCACGAATGCTGTTCATAGTTGCAAAACAATAGCAAATATTCCAAGCACTCACCAACGTGGGCTGGGATTGGAGCTCAGTGGTAGAGCGCACACACAGCCCCAGCTCATCCCGGTGTCATGGACACTGACAGCAAATCCCACCCATGAAAGGATGCCTACTGAAACTGTGATGTATTTAACAAAAGAATTGTGTACAGATGTCAACTTATTCTACAGTACAGCTCTATGGAGTAGTGTCAGAAGTCACAGAACAAAATATGGGGAGCTGGGTATGGTGGTGCATGCTTGTTATCCCAGGATTTGGGAGGCTGAGGCAGGAAGACCACCAGGAGTTTAAAGCCAGTCTGGACTATATAGTGAGTTCAAGTCTCACAAAACCAAAATCAAAGAAGCAAAATCGAGAAAAGCAAGCTCAAAAGTCCAACCTGACTGCATATGGTTTACTTTATTTATTGAGAAAGATCTTCCCACGTAGTTCAGGGTGGCCTTGAACTCACTCTGTAGCCTAAGCTGGCCCTGGGGATTCGCCTGTCTCAGCCTCCTGAGTGCTGGGATCAAGGTGTGAACCACCAAGATTACATGTATAGTTTTTATACACAATGGGGTTTTTTTTTTTTTGGTACCCAGGAACCGAACTCTGGACCTTGCACTTGCAAAGCTTACAGGGAACCACTGAGCTAAATCCCTGGCCTATCCACAATTAATTTTTGCAGTACAAGGGATTAAATCAGGTCCACTACCACTAAGCCATAGCCTTAGCCCCCTTTTTCTGGTACTAGGGATTGAATCCAGGGCTCTTGCTCGAAGCTATACCCTAACATTGATTGATTGACACACAAGGTCTCACTAGTTGCTAAATTCTCCAGGGTTGTATCTGACTTGCCATCCTCCTGCCTCAGCTTTTCAAAGTACAGGGATTATGGATGTGTGCCACCAAATCAGGCTGGACTCACAATGCTTTTTGTTTGTTTGGTTTTTAGTACCAGTTATTGAACTCGGTGGTAAAACCACTGAGCTAAAACCCCGGCCTTTTTTTTTTTTTTTAATTTTTTTTTTTTTTTTTTTTTTTTTTTTTTTTTTTTTTTTTTTTTTTTTTTTTTGAGACAGGCTCTCGCTATGTAGCCCAGGCTGGCCTCGAACTCGCAGTGATCCTCCTGCCTCAGCCTCCCAAGTGCCTGTGTACACTTCTAAACCTAAATCTTTACCATCTCTTCTCAGCTTGTTATAAAGCTCGTGTTCAAGGCACTGTGGTACTCGTTTCAAACCCCAAACCCTTATCATTCTTTGCACTCTGTCCACAATCCAGTTTTCCATACAGGGAGGCCTAGTCCCAAAGTTCAGAGAGTACAGAAAGAAAAAGCCAAACCACAGGGCAAGTTTGGCTCAGCCAAACTCCGGAATCCGGAAGCGGCTGGACTTGCGCGCGCCCTCAGGAGGCGGGGCCAGGGGTGGGCCGGACAAAGGGGTGAGGCCTTGAGCTACGACCCCGGCAGCGAGTAGATTTGGCGCCAAAAGCCAGGTCTCTCGCGGTGGGAGTTTACAGTCTCGCGAGATCTACACTGAGCGCGGATGTGTGGCCGTCGCTGTGCTTGTGAGGTGCGAGCGGGAGAGGCTGCGGTGGCACAGTGCGGAGACGGGAAGCCGGGACTCCTCAGGCGGGGCAGGGGGCTGCAGGGCGGGACCTCGGTGGCCGGACGGAGCGCGTAAGTCCGTGAGGGGGCCAGGGTGGGCGACCGCGTCCTCCCCGTCAGGTTCCCGCCCTTGTGCGCGAGGGCGGCCCTTCCTGTGGGTGTGGAAGGACGGGGATGCAGAGGGCTGAGGGGAGGTTGAGGTTTTAGCGTTGGGCGTACAGTCGTCTAGTTAGGGGTCCCCTGCGACGAGGGTTTGTTTTTTCCCTCTTCCTTCTGAACTGTCCTGGGGATCGAACCCAGGCCCTTTGCACGGGGTTACAATTCCAGCCTTTTTTCTTTCTCTTTTTTGAACTTTAGGACAGCGTCTGGCCAAGTCGCTAAATTGCCCCGTCTGTATTATAAATTGCTATTCTGCCATAGCCTCCCAGAATCGTGCCCCACGAGGGATTCATTTTCTTTTTATTATTTATTTATTTTTAATTTTTTGCGGTACCGGGGATAGCACCGAGGACCTTGCGCTTGCGAGGCAGGCGCGGCGCCACTGACTAAATCTCCGACCCTGTTTTTAATTTTTTAATAGTAGGAAGAATTTATTGTGAGAAAGATAGCATCCAACGGAGGAGAAAGGAGGTCTCGAAAGTGGGTTGCCCCAAGGGAGTCTTTTTGGTTTTGTGTGTGTGTGTGTGTGTGTGTGTGTGTGTGTGGCAGGGCTTCGCTATGTAGTCCAAACTGGCCTTGTGAACTTACTGTGTAGCACAGGCTGGCGTCGAAGTCGGCGCAGTCCTGCCTCAGCCTGCAGAGTGCTAGCAATTACAGATGTGCTGCCCCATGCCCAGCGGGGCTTCCATTTTGACAGCTAGGAAAAAGTTGGACACTGGAAACAAGGATTTGGGGACGAATTGTGGTTGGAAAGTAAATTTGTTGTTTTTAGTCTTCTGAGAATGACGACCAGAGGAGGAAGTTAAGATGTTTCATCACTGTCTCAGAAAAAGGCAGTTAGGGGCTGGGGATTTAGCTCAGTGGTGCTCCTGCCTGGCAAACTCAAGGTCCTGAGTTCGATCCCTCCGTACCAAAAAATAAAAACAATTATGCGGTCTTTGTGAAGGAGTAAAAGTATAAACATTGTATTTCCCACAAATATTAAGGAAATATCAGGACCCTCACAAGCCCTACCCCATGTCTGACAGTTCCTTACTACACTTAACGTAAACATATTTTGTATCCTCTTATCGAACTCTGGCCTCCTAGTCAGCCTCAAAGTTCAGAACTCCACTAATACACAGATCTTAATTAGAATGGAGCTAAATATTCTTAGGTTTTTGCTCCCCCCCCCCCTTTTGGCAGTGCTGAGGATTGATCCCAGGGTCTGGAACATGCTGGGCAAGGACTCTACCACTGAGCTACATCCCCCTCCCTAAATATGCTGCTTGTAGTTAGCAAGCTATTTTAGATTATGTGACCTTTTACTGCCTTTCTAATTTTGAAAATCTGTGATTTGGGGGGGAGTCTCAGAGATTGAACTCAGGACTTTGCACTGGAGAGGTAGGTGGCAGAACCACCGAGCTAGATCCCGGCCTGATAATGTGATTCTTGTAGCTTACTTGAAAGTACAGTGTGGGTCATCATCCGGAGTATTCATAGTCATAGAAATTTAGAATTGGAGCTTGGGTGATGGCATATGCCTGTAATCCCAGCATTCAGGAGGCCGAGGCAGGAGAATCAAGTTCAAGGTTAGTCTGAACTATAAGGTGAGACCCTGTCTCAAAAAAGAAAAAAAAAAGGGCCAAGGACTTAGCTCAGTGGCCCTGTGCCTGCCTCGCAAGTACAAGGTCCTAAGCTCGATCCCCGGTACCAAAAAAGAAAAAAATAACCAAAACCAAAAAAACCCACAAATTTAGAATTGGAGAAATTTTTGTGATTATGTAATTGCAGTAGTTTCAGTCAGCTTTGAAATTTTGGAGAAGCTTTTAAATTTTTTGGCAAAAGGGTACTGGGGAACCCAGGACCTCGCATGATAGGTCCGCACTCAACCGCTGAGCTGTATTTCCTACCCTTTCTTATTTTTATTTTGAGATGGAGAAAAACCTGGTGCATACTGAGTTCTGTGTTTCAGAGGTCAAGGGAAACATTTTTTTTTTCCTGAAAAAGGGATGGACCAAAAGTGTTGGATGTAGCTAAGAAGTCAAGTAAGACAGTATTGAAGAGTAATTATTTAAGTAATGAGTATGAGGATAATTTCCCATTCCTCAAGGGAAACTTTGGCTAGAAAGACAATACATGAACAGTTTTTTGTTTTTTTTTTTGTTTTTTTTTTCAAAAGCTGCTATGGGGCTGTGGATGTAGTTTTCTGATAAAGAACTTGTCCAGCATGCCCAAGGCCTGGGTTCCCTCCTCAGCACTGACTAAAACTGCTCCTTTTGAAGTAGGTGTGAAATTCTGCTTACCTCACCACCTCTTGGGTCACAGTTTAAAGCCTTCTAAAAAGTCAAATCAATCCTTTAATGGCAGGAGGAACTCAATAATTAGGGTAAAATGCTTTGTTCAAAATCATGTTCAGTTTATGACTTAGTTTTTTGGAGAGAGACAGGGTCTGAAACTCATGGATTTAACTGATTCCTGCATTAGCCTCAGAAGTGCTGGATTATAGGCATATGCCACATTTCCCAGAGAATTATCTAGATTGATTGGTTGTGATACTGGATTGAATGAATGTAGGGCCTTGGAGCTAAGCTATAGCCTTATTTATTTTTTAATTTCCTGTAACAGTTAATAGTTTTTTTTTGTTTTGTTTTTAGTACTGGGGATTGAACTCAAGACCTTGTGTGCACAAGGCAGGCGGCCGAACCATTGCGCTAAATCCCTTGCCCTGTAGCCCTATTTTTATAGCCCTGTTTTTTGAGACAGACTCTCACTAAGTGTGCAAGTGGCCCAAGCCCCCCTTGTCATCTTCCTGCTTCAGCCTCCTGGAGTGCTGGGATTACTGGTGAGTGCTACCACACCTGGCAGCACTTTTTTGAATTGGTACATTTTAGATAGACATAATGATAACATTCATCATAGGGAATTTGTACTTGTATATGATACTACTTTTATTCACATTCCTCTTCCCTCCCTTCAACCCCTGTTCCCCTCTATTTTTTTTTTTTTTTTTTTTTTTTGGGTACCAGGCTCAAACTCATGACCTTGTGTGAGCTAAATCTCCGGCCCTACCCTCCTTGTTTACAAAAACTTTGTTTCCGTTTTTTTCCTTGTCCCTTCTTTCCTTTCTCCCTCCCCGCTCTCTTGTACGCTTCTCATTTGAACATTTTCTTCCCACTTCCCAGTATCTTTTATACATTTTCATCCTTATTTACATTTTTTGGTTTCTTACACCAGAGAAACCATGCAGTATTTAAATGTGTGTGTGTTCAATTTATTCAGTTAAGAGCATTGTTTGGGGGTGCATCCATTTAGCTAGAAATGTCTCAATCTTTTTTTTTTTTTTTTTTTTGTACCAGGGATCGAACTTGGGTCCTTGTGCTTGCAAGGCAAGCGATGGAACCACTGAACTAAATCCTCGGCCCCAAGGTCATCTTTCTTAATGGCAGAGTAGTACTCCATTGTACACAAAAACTACATTTTATCCATTCTTCAATTGATGGGCATTTGGTCTGCTTCCAAGATTAACTATTAACAAACTATCTGGCAGTATTTCTTTTTTCTGTTTTTTTTTTTTGTACCAGAGATTGAACTCAGGACCTTGGCAGTATTTCTTTTTATGATATGTGACTTTGAAATGTGGTTTAATCGAAACATGTGAATTATGCTGCAGATGAAACTTGGCTGTGTAATAGGAGGACTGTTTTGAGAAATAAAAATAATTACACCTTTTTCCTCCAGAGGAAAAGATGATAGAACCACAAGAGAATGGCTTGATTGACTTACCAGATTATGAACACATAGAAGATGAAACTTTCCCTCCATTTCCACCTCCAGCCTCTCTGCAGAGAGATGGTGAAGAAGTTGAACCAGATGAAGGTCTGCGTTGATTCTTTTTTTTGGGGGGGGAGATAGGGTCTCTGTAGTTCAGGCCGGTCTTCAACTCTTGACGATCCTCCTGCCTCAGCCTCCTGAATGTTGGGGTTACAGGAGTGCACCACCACCCTAGGCTGAAAGTCTGCATTGAGAATTTCACAAAAAAGTCCCTTCAGCTATCCATCTATCAACTTAGAAGTGATGCATTTTATGATTAAGACTTAAACAATACTAAATCTTGGTATGTTTCACTAGAGTCAGGGAGCAGAGAACCTGTTCCTGTCCCTCCAAAGAGAACGGTTAAAAGGAACATCCCCAGGTTGGACGCTCAGAGGTACTTGGACCATTTCCTTATATGTCTGTACTTTTTTTTTGTAATGTTTGTTTTGTTTGGGATGATCTTGAGATCAGATATTTCTGTAAACATTCTTTTTGAGTTGAAATAGTTTTTCTTCTCTTTGTTTGGACATAACTCTAGAGAACTTGAAATTCAAAATGAATTTCCATTCACAGATTAATTTCGGAGAGGGGCCTTCCAGCCTTAAGGCATGTGTTTGACAAGACAAAATTCAAAGGTAAAGGTCATGAGGTAAGAAATGGCTTGTTTTTGTTTTATTTATTTATTTTTTGGTGATGCTGGACCTTGAACTCAGGACCTTGTACTTGTGAGGCAGGCATGGTGCCACTGAGCTAAATCCCTGGCCTTAAAATGTTTTTTTTTAAAAAAGTACCAGTGAAACTGTGGCCTTGTTAGGATTTTCTTGGGAATTTCAGAGTGTTTCATAGATACTATTATTAGTCCTCAAATCTCTTGAGACAAAGCTGTGATGGGGTAGAAAAGATATTATGAAGAATTAGTAAAGAATTGGTAGAAAAGGTAGTATTTGAAGAATTAGAAAATATTAGTGGGCTGGGGATTTAGCTTGGTGGTTCCACTGCCTGCCTTGCAAAGACCCAAGTTCAATCCCCAGTAATAAGAAGAAAAAGAAAATACTTCTTTGTTTCTTTGCCACTGTAGGCTCTATAACTTTAGGAAAATTATACTTGACTTTGTGCTTTATAGTATAAGCCTGAATCTGTACTTAATAATTAAAGGAATATAGTTTACTTTTTTTGGCTTTTTTTGAAACAGGATATTACTGTGTGGTCCTGGTTGGCCTTCCTATGTGTCCAAGGCTGGCATTAAATTTGCGGTGATCCTCCTGCCTCCTCCTCCCAAGTACTGGGATTACAGGCATGCGCTGCCACACCTGGCAAAATTTACTTTATGAACTTGAGTTTAGAGAAATAAAACGTACTTTGTCTCTCTCAAAGAGGGATTTTAAGTTTCATAGTAAAGACTTCTGTGTTGGTCACTTACGGCCCTGAACTTACTGTGTGGCCTCAAGGCGGCCTCATACTCAACAGTGATCCTCCTGCCTCGGCCTCCCAAGAACTGGGATGACAGGTGTGCACTAGCGCACCCAGTTATATTGTATATATGGCACAGTGCCTGGTTTTACTGTAGGTGTCAGTGAAGTTTTGTTTCAAAAAGAAGACATTTAGTAATTGACAACCCCCATCCACATAGTACAGCTCAAAAATGTTCTTACCTTTGGATTATATAGGAGTGTAGGAAGAATTTTTCACAGATGATAATACAGTTTTATAGAGCTCTGCAGTTTAAAAGGTATTTTCCAAATATTAATTTTCAGCCTGTGCAGTTGATGTTGGTTTTGTTATCTACTGAAGTTGATTTTAGAGTTTTAAGTGACCACTGTAGTTGCTAAAGCTGAGTCTAGACTTTGCCTGTTCCAGCCCAGCTAGAATAGTGCTAAAACTGTGTGCTGTCAGTGTGGTGTGCAGGAGAATGTGGAAGGAGAAGAGGCTGCTGGTAGATGTCATTTCAGTGGGATGGGCAGTACTAGGCAGGGCAGGGTAGGAGTAAGAGATGAATGATGTGAGATTTGAGGTGATTAAGATACAGAAAAGTGAAAAAAGGTAGGGTCAAAATAATCTCAAGATTTCAACCCTAGGACACAGAAAAATTGTATATTTGCTCAATTTAATAGACATGAGAGAATATAAACCTGCATTGTTTTGCCACAAACTAAATATAAATGAGGATATTTTCATAATCCCAGCTCACTTCATTCTTTTCGGGTAATAGTGGTGAATTGGTACTTTGCATTTATGAATTCCTGGGTGTATTCATAATGAGTCTTACCAGACCGAGGATTTAGCTCAGTGGTTCCGCCATCTTCCTCGCAACTGCAAGGTCCTGAGTTTGATCCCCGGTACCAAAAAAAATTGTGAACTTATCCGGGCATGGTAGTGTCCCCCTGTAATTCCAGCACACAAGAGGCTGAGGCTCTGACTTCGAGGCAAGCCTGGACTACATAGTGAGACTGTCTCAAAAAACAAAACAAAACAAAACGTGAATAAGTAAAATAAACAAACTTGCCTAAAGAATATGCATTTTGTGTTTCTTCCATGGATCAATGTGCTCTGAGTTTTTTCTTCTTACTTTGCCCTTGAAAAAATCTTATTTTCTCAGTACTAAATCTTTTCTGTGTGTGATTTGGAGCCTACTCTGTATTTAGATTTTGATTTCTTTTTTATTGTGCGGTGTAGTGCAGTGCTGGAGCCTGTGCGCAGGACCCTGTGAGTGCTAGGAATTGTTCTACCGCTGAGCTACACCCCGAGCTCATACTTCTCTTGTGTCGCTTGAGTCTAACACAACTTTTTTTTTTTTTTGTGCCAGGGATCAAACTTGGGACCCACCACTGAGCTAAATCCCTGGCCTTGGTCTAATACAACTTTTTGAGCCTCACAAATTAGAGGCTTGCCTGGGCTACATACAAGACCTGGTTTCAGAAAACCAAAATGCAAAAAAGAGAAAAGATTAGAATTTGTGTTTTATTATGAGAAGAGCAGAATGAGAAGAGGTGTCCTTGGTGTTCTGTGTTTAGTCATCAGAGAGTTGGTGGTTTTGACCACTGGCTTCAGGCAGGTCAAGGAGCCATATTGGATGACCCTGTAGTGCTTACCGTGTGCGTGACACTTTATGATTTTTGCGGTCACCCCATGAGGTCTTCATGTTCTTCTCATTCTCTACTTGAAGAAAGAGACAGAGAGGTAGATCGTTTGGAATGGAGTTGAGATTTGAATCTGCATTCTGTTGAAGCTGTGTTCTTCATCATTGACCTATTCGTTCTCATATTTTAAAATACTGTATGTGAAGAATGATACATATGATAGTAAAAGCAGGAATTTAAGTTTATTTATTTGCTTTTGGTACTGGGGATTGAATTTGGGACCTTGTACTTGTGAGGCAGGAGGTGGCACCACTGAGCTAAATCCCCAGCCCCTAACTTCAATTTATTATTATATCTAACTTCATTCTAACTTCATTTACCAGTCAAGTTTATTAAAGTCTTTTTCATTTTCATTTTTAAAAATCTTAATTGGAATTTCAAATGCCATAAGTTTTTATGGCTGGAGAATATTTAAAATGTTCTTAATTGTCTCTGTCCTTGGGATTCTTGTGAGGCAAGTGGCAGAATCACTGAGCTAAATTCCCGGCCCATGAATATACTCTTACAATTTTAGATTCTCAGTGCTTTTTTCTGTGTATATGATTTATGGACTTGTCAGTGTTTAGTTATTCCAGAAAGATACATTAATGTTTTATTAAAGCTATTTGGAAAAATTTTATTATTTTATTTAACAGTTCTAAGACACAAGTATGATATTAAGGTGTTTTGTTTTGTTTTGAGACAGGGTCTCACTATGGAGTTGAGACTGACCTGGAACTCACTATGTAGCCCAGGATGGTCTTGAACTCAGCAATCCTCCTGCCTCAGCCTCCCGAGTGCTGGGATTACAGGTGTGTCCCACCACGCCTGGCCATTAAGGTGTTTCAAGTATGATTAATTTTAAGGTTTTTTTTGTTTTGTTTTGTTTTGTTTTTGTGTGTGTGTGTGTGTGGTTTTTTTTTTTTTGGTGCCACTAGGGATTGAACCTATGGCCCTCAAGGCCTTCCCACTGAGCTACATCCACAGGTTCTTTGTTTTTGTTTTTGGGTTTTTTTTTTTCTTTTTTGGTACTGGAATTGAACTCGGGACCTTGTGCTTTAAGGTTGTGTGTGGCACCACTGAGCTAAATCCCTGGCCCTAAGGCTTTTTAAATTTTAAGATCGGGTGTTGTTAAATCCATCCTAGCCTCTAATTTGGAATCCTCCTGCCTCAGCCTCCCAGAATGCTGTGATTATAGGCATGCATCATCATGCCCGGCACCTTTAAGGTTTTATACTGCTGGTTTCCCCCATTTAAAAACTATCCAGGGCTCTTTTAGAATGCAATCCTCTAAACCTTTAGTAAATTTATGTATTTTTAATTTCCTTCTAAAAGTTTCTCAACCTTCCAGGCATGACACCAGTGACTTTGGCCTTGTTTTTCAGTTCTAAAATGTGCTGACAGGGTTAGCTGTGAGATGAGTCTTCTGTTCAGCGTTTTTATTTTTATTGCCAGGCAGAGGACTTGAAGACACTCATCAGGCACATGGAGCACTGGGCACATAGACTATTCCCCAAACTGCGATTTGAGGATTTTATTGACAGAGTTGAGTACTTGGGAAATAAAAAGGAAGTTCAGGTAAGGGTTGTAGTTATCGTGAATGTTGTTGACAGTGCTAAAGAGTAAACAGATTTAGTTGAGGCTAAATTGCAACTTTGGGCCATTTTTAAATCTGTTTTGGTAGGGAGGGAAAATTAATATTATTTCAAGAACTCTTTAGAAATGTTAAGAGTCGGGTAAAATGGTCATTCACTTTCTTAACATTAGTGAAAATGTAAAAATGTGTTTCTGTTTTCAGACTTGTTTAAAAAGAATTCGACTTGATCTCCCTATTTTACATGAAGATTTTGTTAGCAATAGTGGTAAGTATTTAGGTTTATTTACTGTTTAACAATTCTGGTTTTAAAATGAGATCTATTTGGAGTAGACATTATGATAGGACTGGATTCTTTGTATTGTGTATATAATTACAAGTATAATTAATAGGAATGATTATAATGGTTTGTTAAATCTAAAATGTTATATATGAATTACCTTTCTTAAAGATATGGGTGCATTGCCGTTAGACATGTACAAAGTGTATTTAACCACAGAATCTGAACTTCTGGCAATCCTGCTCACCCATTAAACCTTTATAGTGCTTGTTAATAAAAATGCCTATCAAGATGCAGTGTTCACATACATATATGTACTACTAGAAAACCTGGGAAATCAGGCTGGATAATTGTTGATGAATGTTTGCATTTTGCTCAAAGTGCAGATCCTGGGTACAGGACTCCACTAAGATCTACGTGACTGTTCCTGGTGATGATTGCATTTGTCATTTGTGCAGTGCAACCGTAGACAGTCACGCACATCAAAACACATGGTTCCTGCCGACAGAGTCTGTAGAGTTATCAGATTTTCTGTGCGATGGCTCCATACACCTTTTTTACTTTACTTTTTAAACTTAATAGATGTGGAAATAGAGGCTCCATGTAGAATCTCCCCACATTATTTTTAAGTAGCTTATAAAAGTGAAGGAATGTGATTTAAATAATCTGGGGTGTTAATTTTTTGGTAAGATATTGTTTTAGCTTTTTTGTTGCTGAGAAAAAAAATACCCAACACCCACAAATAAAGGCAGGAAAAGTTTATTTACTTCACAGTTTGTAGAGGTTTCTCTTCATAGTCGGATGGTTCTAGGGCAGGGTGGCATGGCAGAGGAGTATTGCAGAGAAGAAATAGTCCACAGCAAGCAGGCAGGTGAGAGAACATTGCTCTTGCTGTCCTTTATATTTTATGTAGACTACCTGCCCTAGGGCAAGTGCAGCACTTAGACCCTTAATCTTAGCCAGCACTATGCCAAACAAATCAGTAGACTGATTTAGTAATCACTCCTTTGATCCCAGCATCACACACTCTGGATCCAGCCACCTCTGAAAAGCTCCCCCATGACAGCATGAGGCTTTAGGGGACATCTAGGCACAAGCCATCGTAGATATATGATGTATACTGATTCCATATAACTTTGTATGTATTGAAACGAGTTATTACAGTATTAAATCCCACAGCTTATCCCACTAGGTTAGTTTACTTAGTAGCAGTTTTTGAACTTCCCACTATGTGCTTAAAGGCTTGGGATAAAAGATGAATAAAACCAAGCCCCTTAGTTTATAGACTAACCCTCTAGAAAATGAATCGCACTGCATTGCAGTAGTGACAGGACCTATGATGAGCACTCTGATTAGGGCACAGGGCAGGATGCAGAGGACAGCAATTATGTTATGGGGGGCTGTGTAGAACAGGTGTCACAGGTATGTTGAAAGACAAGCAGTAGTGATCAGCCAGCAGTGATTTTTTGGGTATAGGGGTCCACCCATGAAGAGGGATAAATGAATGTGGATGACCAGCCGGGGGGTTGCAAGTGCTTAAGTAACACAGGGCACATGGAGAGACTCCCATGATGTTGAATTTGTTTTCTTTGTAACTGAAGAGACCACAAAGTAAACATGTTGTGTTTTTTTGTTTTTTTTGTTTTTTGAGACAAGATCTTACATAGTTCAGCATGGCCTACAATTTGCAGTGTAGCCCAGGCTGGCTTTGAACTCCTGGCGATCCTCCTGCCTTGGCCACCTGAGTGCTGGAATTAGCGGTGTGCACTGCCGCACACAGTAAACGTGTTTTGAGCATTTACTGTTTAATTTATTAAATACATGTACTTATGTACTGATAAGATGTGCAGTATACATTTTTGTTACCAAAAATAGTGTTTAAAAAAAAGATGGTGTGATTGAATAGTCTCTTGAATATTTAAAAAATCTTAGGCTAATACTTCTTTTAATTAGTTTTATTGGTACATCATTTTAGATATACATAATGATCACATTCATCATAGGGAGTTTGTACTTGTACATGGTATGTCTTTTTTTTTTTTGGTACCAGGAATTCAACTCAGGACCTTGCATGTGCCAGGCAAGCCCAGTGCCACTGAGCTACATTCCCAGCCCTGGTATATCTTGATTCTTCTTTTTTCCCCAGTCCTCTGCCTTCTTTTATCCCTTCTAACCCTCCTTATTTACAAAAGCTTTGTTTCCATTTTTTTCCTTCTGTTTTCTTTTCCTTTCCTTCCCCCTCCCTCTGGGCTAATAATTCTTGGTACCATTTTTTTCCCCAAAATCTTGGTTTTACTGCATGAAGATACATAAGCTGCAATTACTAAGTTTTGGCATTCATTTTTCAATCCCATTCACAAATGCAAGGAAATTTGCCAAAGTTATCTACCCTTTTAATCATTTTTCTTACAAATTGGTCAGATATTACATTTTATATTTTTTGCAGTGCTGGGGCTCGAACCCAGTACTCTACCACCAAGCCATACCTCTGACTCATATTTTTCTGTTTTATCTGGTACAGATTCAAGTCACTGTGCTCATGGCTTTGCAGGGCTCATCCATGCAAAGTAAAAGCTGAGGTTCTTCCTTGCCTTGCTTGGCCCCACAGTGTATTCTTATATCCTCATCCCTTCCCTTGCCCATCTCACTGTCACTGTCACACACTGTTTCTGCCACTGGTGCCTTTTAGCTGTCCTTGGACATTCTGGGCACACTTCTGTCCTAAAGGTTGTTTTTTGTTTTGTTTTTTTGAGACAGGGTCTGGCTTACGTAGCTCAGGCTGGCTTTGAATTTACAGTGATCCTCCTGTCTCAGCCTCCCAAGTGCTAGGATCATAGGTGTGTGCCACCAAGCCTGATTTGTCCTAAGGCTTTTGCAGCCTTGAACTGAGCCTGGAATCCTCTTCTTATTTCCCTCAAATTTACACAGCTGACTTTTTTAAAAAATCATTTTTGTTAGTACACAGTGATTACATTCAGTGTGGGGAATTGGTACCTGTAAATAGCTTATCTCAGTTTTTATTCCCCTTCCCCTCCACCCTTATTTTTTTTTCATTTACATGGCTGACTTTATCTCTTCAGACTGTGTGCAAAGGTCAACTCAGTGATGTCTCCCTGACCACATGGTTGGAATTACATCCCTTTTTCCTCCATTCCTGACTCAACCTATGCTGTTTTTCTTTTCTCCTCCTCCCTCCCTCCTTCCCTCTTCCCTCCCTTCCTTCCTTCCTTCCTTCCTTCCTTCCTTCCTTCCTTCCTTCCTTCCTTCCTTCCTTCTTTCCTTCCTTCCTTCTCCCTCTTCCTGTTTCTCTTTCTTCCTTTCTTCTTCCTTCTTTTCCAGTACTGGGGATTAAACCCAGGGATGCCTTACCATTCAGATGTATTTCCCATGTTTTTTTTTATTATCTTCAGACAGTCTTGTTCAGGGGTTGGCCTTGAACTTGTTATCCTCCTGCCTCAGCCTCTCAAGTAATTGAGGTAGTAGACATGAGTCACTGTGCCCAGCCGGAATTTTGTTTCATTTGTTTTCGTTTTTTGAAACAGGGACCTTGAACTCTCTGTGTAGCTAAAGCTGGCCTCACACTCATGGTGATCCTCCTGCCTCAGCCTCCTGAGTGCTGGGATTGCAAGCGTGCCTGACCATGCTCTGCCAGAATTTGCTATCATTTATTTCCCATTAATCATTTTATGGTTGTCTGTCCGTCTGTGCCGGAATGATGGCTTCCTTTAGAGTACATTGAGTACTCCTGATTTCAGCTTCTTTGCCTCATTTGCCTGTGAATGTTGCAGTGAATGAGTTTCATGTACAGTCCTAATTTTTTTCCTCGGTTTTTTCGAGACAGTATCTCTCTACAAAGTTAAGTGGCCTTTGAACTCACTATGTGGCCTCAACCTCACATAGCAATTCTCTGGCCTCAGCCTCCTGGGTTCTGGGATTACAGTCATGCATCACCATGCCTGGTCTTCAAAATCCCATTTTTATTCTAAAGGAAGAAGCTGCTTCTGCTTCATCAATTACTCTCACGTTGTTTTCCATAAGATATAGTTTTTATTAACCCCTTAACAGTTTACCTCAGCATCACTTGGGCAGTAAGTTTGTTTGCACACCGATTCTCCCACAGTGTCACTTCGGCTGGTGTCATTTTTCAGCCACTTGATGCTTGTATTGAAGAAATTTGATAAAATTGTCATTTCTACATTTCCTATTAATATAAAAAGTAATGAAAAAATGAGCAGATTTTGGGTAGGGGAAGAGTTAAAAGGGAAAAGAAAAAATGTGAGAGAATGAAAAGATGAAAATAAAGTGTTTGTAGATGGGGAGGGGAGGAGGGGGTGAAAGGAGGGCAGAGGTAAGGGGAAAAAATGAGAATCAAGACTTGTCATGTAGAGGTACAAGATCCCAACAATGAATGTAACTGTACTGTATCCCTAAAATGTACCAATAAACCCAATTAAAGCTGGAAAAAAAGAAAAAAAGCAAATTTTGCTCATCCTATATTTAACTGATTGGCCTGGGGGGTGATTAAAAAGGTTCTTTCCTTTTTGTTTTGTTTTGTTTTTTGAGACAGATCTGGAACCCATTATGTAGCCCAGGCTGGTCTCAAACTCACAGAAATCCTCCTGCCTCAGCCTCCCAAGTGCTAGGATTACAGGTGTGCGCCACCACTCCCGGCTCTGCTTTGCTCTGCTCTTTCAATGTATTTGTTTATTTAATAAAATTTTTTTGGTACCAGGGATTGAACTTGGGTCCTTGTGCTTATGAGGCAGGCGGTGGCACCACTGAGCTAAATCCCTGGCCCCTAAGAGGTTATTTTCTAGATGATACCATTTCTTTTGTGACTCAAAAGAGTAGTTCCTTAGGATAGTGTTGCTCATTCAGAATCCTGTCAGTCCTGTAAGGGAAGCGTGTGAGAGACCCCACAATTGTGTCTTTACTTCTCCAACAGTGTTTTCTACATGTCCTGTGTTGGCACTTCCTGGCCTGAGGAGCATTTCCATTTCTTAGCATTTTTACTTTGTCAGGAAGGATGAGTGTTTGGCTCTTTCAGTTAAGGAAGAATCCTCAAAAGGAGGTTTGATTGTTCAAAGAGCTAGATTAAGTGTTACAATTTTAAAATCTCAATAATCGCAAAGGCTTATAGTCACACTTTCAATATTTCGCTCATCATAAGGGATTTTTCTGCATTTTATATCTCAAGGCATGAAGACAAGGATAGTATCTGTAAATTCCTATTTCAGTTGGTGACTGGAGTTTTTTTTTTTGGTCTGGCTTGTCAGATGTAATGGGGTTTACTCTTTTTTTGTTTATTTTAAATCCTACAATGTGAATAATACAGAAGGTGAGGTGTCATCTGCTATTTTCTTATTAAACTCTTCTGCCTGCAGGCGTTTTATTGTTTTGCAGAATTTTTTTGAAGCTACCACATGCATTTCATTGGGGCTGTTCTGTTACAGGGGGTTAAGATGCCAGTTTACTTGATTGGGCTGTCAGAAATAGCTGTGTCACAACACAGTGAAATTTAAAAATGCTGGGGCTGGAGCTGGAGCTCGGTGTTGGAGAACTTGCCTGGCAAGCCCAGGGTCCTGAGTTCAATCCCCAGCATGTCAGAAAAGTGAATAAATGATGTAAAACTGTCCTGTTCTGCTCATAGACCAGACAGTAACTGTCAGAGAGGCAAGTGGTAGTCAGCACCGCCAGCCCTTAAATGTTAGTAAAACTTGATTTTTTAAAAATTCTGAACTATAAATGGAAGGCCTGATACTTACTTTCACATTACTGTGGCTCCTTTTGAAGGCATCTTTCTTTGAGATAACTGTTGTAACAGGATTTTAAAAAGTTGTCAATTCTAATAATTCAGAGCATTGAAACCTCCCTCCCTTCTGGATTTCCCTGTGTGGCCCAGGCTGGCATCATTCAAGTCATCCTTCTGCCTTAGCCTCCTGAGTGCTGGACTATAGGTGTGCACGCCATACCTGACTAGATAACACTCCGTTTCTAAAAGGAAATTAGGGGCCAGAGATTTAGCTCAGTGTTGCTGCTGCCTGCCTCAAAAGCTTAAGGATCTGAGTTTGATCCCCAGTACTGAAAAAAAAATTAACTTGGAAATAATGTTCACAGATCTAAACATTCTTTTCTTTCATCTCTTTTGCCCTGTAAAAGATAATGGCCTATATAAAATTATTACTGTGTGGCCAGGAGTGGTGGTGCACCTCTGTAATCCCAGCACTCAGGAGGCTGAGGCAGGAGGATCGTTGTGAGTTCAAGACCAGCCTGGGCTACACAGTGAGTTCCAGGTCAGTCTCAACTACATGGTGAGACCCTGTCTCAAAAAACCAAAAAAAAAAAAAATATATATATATATTACTTTGTACCATACAAACACTATGTCAGGCTATTAAAATGTGCTGGTTTAATGTAGGGTACCATTATGGTTTAGGTTTTATTCTGTTTTCCTGGTAGTGGGGATTGAACTCAGGGTACATGCTGCACATGCTGGGCAAATGCTATAACACTGAGCTTACATCTCCAACTCTGGGTTATTTATTTTTCAATCAAATGCTCTCACTGATCTAAAATGACTGATGTACTAACTTTTTTTCCTTTGACAGATGAAGTAGGGGAAAATAATGGCCTTTCGGTAACAGCTACTGAACTTGACCCCTTCCTGACAAACTCAGCGGGGGGCGAGAAGCTTGCTTCTGAGGTGAGGAGCAGCCTCACGGAGGAGCAGCAGCAGAGAATCGAAAGGAACAAGCAGCTGGCCCTGGGAAGAAGGCAGGCGAAGCTGCTAAGCAACAGTCAGGCCCCAGAAAACGGTAAAGTGGACACTGGGTGTTTTGTGTTACCATTAATATCAAGACCATGTGAGAAACATTTAACTTCTCTGCTTTCACCCAAACTCAAATACCACTAGGAATAGAACAGTGTGGTGTCAGGTTTATGTATACTTGAGAGTGTGTGTGAGCTGTTTGGAGTTCAAAGAATATGAGTCTCAGGAAGAGTCTAAGTCCTTCAAAAATATATTCTTTCCTGGCTCCCTAGAGCATGTCTCACATACTTTTTAAATCAGAATATTTGGGGGTTCTTTTTTTTTTGGTACTGGGGATTGAACTTGGCACCTTTCGCATGAGAGGCAGACGGTACCACCACTAAGCCAAATCCCTGGCCTTAGGGTTGTTTTTTCTAGTCCTGTGAGATATGCTGTTGGGGTTGCATTGAATCTGTATGATAATTTTAGAAGAATGGCCATTGAGAAAATGATTGTTGATAGGGCAAACTAGACGTGATGTGTGTGGGGTCTTCTCACTATAAACACAGTAACATTCCTGATATTCCAAGGATACAGTGGAGACATTTGTGGTAGTTTGAAAACATATCAACAAACTCTGCTGTTCCTCTCTCGAGAGATAGAGTCTCGATGTCCACAGGCGGTGCTGCCTGTGGTAGGCAGGGGCCTCTTCACCTCGAGGTGACTATGTTTAGATTCTCTGCGTCTCTGCTTCTGCCTTTTTCCACTTGGATTTCATAGTCCAGTTCAGGCGTCCACATTGGCACTTCCGCAATATTCTCCCATACTTTTATCTATTGCAACCAACAAATAGTGTCTCCTCCACTAGCACTTTGAGCTTCTCTAGGATAAGACAATTATTTCTCACCTAGGTATGCAGATGAGGAGCCACTGTTTGAATGGAAATACGAATTAGCAAATAAAACTTTAATCTCTCGCCAGAAAGGCCTGCACAGGCCCTTTATGTAGTTTCATCTGGTTTTAAATGCCTTATGTAGCCCAGCCTGGCCTTGAACTCCTGGTAATCCTCCTGCCTCCTCCCAAGTGCTCTGATCACAGGCTGCGCCACCACACCCAGCCAGCCCTCTTTTGGAGACAGGTTCTCACTTAATTGCCAGGCTGGCCTCGAATTTTTGGTCTTTCTGCCTCATAAGTAGTGGGAACTACAGATGTGCCTGAGGACCCTTTGTATCTTGAGTGGACTTTCTTCAGGTTTATATAAAACTGGGTTTATTTAGAATTGAGTCATCTTAATTAACATTAACTGATCAGGGATCTCATTTCTACCAAGCTTTTTACATTTTTTTTTTTTTATAAGCTAAGCTTTTGAAGGGATTTGCACTTGTGAGTTATGAGTACATTGCTTGCTTGCACCGAGTAACATGAGCGTCTCTCTCACAGACACGTCCATGGACACACATGGCACACAGGCGGTTGAGGTTCATGCCGGAGAGGAGCAGGAGGAGGTGAACAGAGACATTGTCCACACTCCATGTTGTGATGCTTCTCCTAGTGCTGCAGGTGAAGAGGAAGTGAAATTAGAGCAAACACAATTGGACCAGTCCTAAAACGTACAACTCCAATCTGGGCATGGCATGGTGGTGCATATCTGTAACCCCAGCACTCTAGAGGCTGAGGCAGGATTGCTGCAAGTTTCAGGCCAGCCTGAACTTCGTGGCAAACAAGACCCTGTCTCAAAACACCAAAAAGAAACAGCAAAATGTCCAACTCCAGGCTGCACAGTTACTGAGGTTAGCGAGACCTCCACCAAGAAAATGTTAGGTTAACTCAACATTCTGTACATTTGCCATGTGTATTTTATGTGAAAATTCTTAGGTAGTAAATATATGCAAAATCCTGCTTAAAATCTGGAATTTATGTCTGTCCTTTATTAACTTAGTTCAGCCTATTTATTATCTTGAGTACTGTTTTTATATAGCTGTGACCTCATAAATGATTAATAGTTAATAAGTTGCTGCTGCTGCTGTTTACTGAACGCCCATGCTGACTAAATGGGGTCATGTTGAAGATGTTAATATGTTCCAGCCATGAATGTCATTTCAAAAAGAAGTAAAAATGATGATTTTTAAAACTGTAGGAGCTTTATGAAAGTCTTCACTTTCTGCAAGTTACGCTTTTGTTAAAGCATTTGACTTTGCGTGTGTTTCAAGCAGTTACTAATCCACAGGGGCTGAGCGGACTGGCCATTGCTGGTGTCCCGGGACCCCACAGACAGCTGGGGGAACCAGCAGTGTCCCGAGAGACACAGGAGAAGTTGAGGGAAGTGGGGAGGAGATGCCAAGTCTTGGGATGAGTGGGCACAGTGATGGACATGAATACAGATTTAGGTGACAGCTTGTGGGTGGCGACTGCGAAGCTGCAGGGGTCAGGCCAGATGCCGAGGGGCCTGGGCGCAGTTCTTCCTGCCCCTTCGTCAGCAGGTGAAGGGCGCTGACAGGAAGTTGATAAGAGGCTCTCGTCCTTGTTCCATGGAGGGGCAGGGAAACTGGGTTTTACTGTGGAGGAGACTGGGAAGGCGCCTTTTGGGAGAGACTAGGGATGGGAAAGCAAAGCCCGCGTGTCTTCCTTATGGAGCGGGTGGAGAAGGGCACAACAATGAGTAGCTTCTATCTAGAGCTGGGATGGCAGCCGACATATGCTCTTCCAGCTTGTTGACTTGGGGCAGGGACAGAGTGACAGAGATGGATTATGTTGAAAAGCCAAAAAGTGGAACACAAGGAGAGCACACAGGCTTGCAGGGAGCTGCCCCGTGATGGGCGAGGAGGCACAAATGTGCATCCAAAACATTGGGGCTTATTGCTGCCGTGGAGGAAGCAGCTAGAAGACAACCTGGTCTCAGAGTGCCACTATGCAGGGTGTAGGGGTACAAACCTGTGATCCCATCCCTCAGGAGGGGGAGGCAGGAAGGTAGGGCTGCAAGTTTCTCAGGGGGCCTCTGTCCACTTTCGGCCTGGGAGCATTCTTTTTCCATGCTTGGTTTGCTTGCAGAATGCCAAGCTCCCAGCAGGGGGAGGCCAGTCCCCCTACCTAAGGGGCACTCAACAGAGCAGGAGGGCCCCAGGGGGTTGCAGACAAGACTTCCTGTGCATCCCACCTTGGGCTCTGTGCCCTGTCCCCAGCTGGTGTCAGCACAACAGGGAAAGTGTGTGTCAACTGGAAACAGGCATTTTAAAGTGGGTAGGTGGACAGGACCAAGTCTTAAAAGATATCTAAATAGGGCCAGGGATTTAGATCAGTGGTACACTGCCTGCCTCACAAGCGCAAGGACCTGAGTTCAATCCCCAGTACCAAAGGGGAAAAAAAAAAACCATCTGAATAGAGGGGCCTCAGACCCAAACGGCCCAATGTAGGACGTTTCTTTTGGCAGTGCAGGGGATCAAACCCAGAGCCTCATGCATGCAAGTACTCTGCCCAAGCTGCATCCCCAGCCATACAACTTACTTTGAGAAAACTGAGACCAGACAACTAAAAATTCTGGGTTTATTAAAAAGAGGCCAGCCAGCAAGTGACCCTGCAGAGCACCATTCCCTGTCCTCTCAGTGCTGAAACTTCGGTGGCTACAGTGGTGTCATTCTGTATTTGAAGCAGTCAGTGAACCAGGAGAGAATATGTCCACATGAAATACCTACTTGATTCTGATCAGGCAAGAGCACCGAGTGACCCGAGATTTGCCGTGAAGTTTGGAAAGATGGTAAAATACCAAGACAAAGCTCTTATTGAAGCGAGACGGTTTCATACGCCACAGTCCCCGGAGATGTCCAGGAGCGCCAGGTCCCTGATCTCCTCCAGAAGAGCATACAGACTCTGGCCCTTCGTCTGGCGGTACTCTGGGTAGTCCTCCTGGATGGCGTCCACCTGCCCTTGCTGGGCCAGCTGGGCCTCCTCCACGCACCTGGTGACATCCCTCACCAACTCACTCTTCAGCATGAGCGGGCTCTGGTGGGTCAGCTCTGAGCTCTCTACCCTGTATGGTTTGCTGCTGATGATCTCAAGCCCAATTGTGTCTGCATGGCAGCGTGAGGCCTGCACGGATATCCTGACCTGTCACGAAGGAGAGACCGTTGTCACCAAGTCCCTTTCCTTGCCACACCGAAAGCAGTGCTTCCACAAATGCAGACTCACCGTGACATGGTCGAACAGGTGAAGTGTGAGCGACTCCCCTCCCGTTGTGGTGGAGGTGATTTTGTCCTGAAATCGCTGCAGGGACCCAGGTTTCCATTCCAAGCGGCTGTCAGGGCCACAGCACATCACTAAACCATCTTTATTTTTTAAATAAGCAGCACCTTTAATCCCAAACCTGAATCGTCAAAATAAAGATCCAGAGTTAACATATTCTTAGTGCACAGGTCTTGTGTGTTTATCTAGATGAAAAACAAATCACTCTTCTGCTTACCTCCAAATATTTATTTTGCTATAACAGATGTGAACACAAAATATTTTATAGATCCTAGCATGTACATAGATGTACTCCAGGTGTTTCCATTTCAAAATTATATACTGAACTGACATTACATTGTGCAACTATTCTGTAAATAGTTCTGTAAATAGTTGCTTAAATTAAAAAAAATTTGGTGGTGCTAAGAATTGAACTGAGGGCACTGTGTATGCCAGGCAGGTGCTCTGGCACTGACCTACATCCCAGTACCTATAGAGTACTTTTATTTTTGTTTATTTTGGGGTACCAGGGATTGAGCCCTTGCACTTGCAAGGCAGGTGGCGGAACCACTGAGCTAAATCCCTGGCCCAAGAAATTCTTTTAATCAATTTATTTTTTTGAGACAGGGTTTCACTATGTAATTTAGGCTGTCTTTACACTCATGGTGATCCTCCTGCCTCAGCCTTCCAAGTACTGGAATTACAGGTGTGTACCACCAGGCCTGACAATGTGTACCCTAAAAAATTCACCTTTGGGGCTGGGGGTTTAGCTCAGTGGTGCTGCACCTGCCTTGCAAGTGCAAGGTCCTGAGTTCATCCCTGGTACTGGGGAAAAAAAATTTACATCTAATGTTCTGTTTATGGTCTACACTTCCAGTTAAACTCTGACTTTGTATTCACTATTGTCTTAGATGTAACATACCTTGGTATAAAAACAAGCACACCGTTTGTTCTAATCGAGTAAATAACTCCATCAGATATGCAGCGCTCCTTGGTTTCAGGGTCTTTGTCTTTAAAGTACATGCACTGGAAGAGCTCAGTGGACTGCTTCTGAGAATGCTGTGCTGCCTGTGAGAAGCAGAACCCAAAGGTTCGTAACTGCCCTGACATTCCCAGAAGAGAGAAACTCACATCTCCAAAGTGTCTTTAAAAAGGTTAGATTCGACGAGGCCTATAATTGCAGCCCTTGGGAGGCTGAGGCAGGCAGACCCTGGGGAATTCAAGGCTAGTCTGAACTACATAGAGCCTCTTAAAAAGAAAAAAAACTGGGCCGGGGATTTAGCTCAGTGGTGCTGCAAGGTCATGAGTTGGATCCCCGGTACCAAAAACAAAACAAAAAACTGAGGAACTGAATTTCTAGTTCTAATTAATGTAAATACCAACATGGCTAGTGTTGCACTATTGTACAACAAAACTAGAACACTGGCTATAGAAAATACATTAAACAGGTGGTTTTTAGTTTCGTATATCACCCCATGGTACAGTTCTATGCTATGCAGTCTTGTAGCTACTAATGACAACATACAGTAGCTTATAAAATATACAAAGCAGCTTATAAAATAACAATGTCATTGTAGTCATTAACATGCTTTCTCTTCATATCCCTTTATTTTTCCACAGGGTCTCACTATGTACTTCAGGCTGGTCTTAAACTGAGTTTTGTTTTTTTGTTTGTTTTTTGGTACCTGGGATTTAACTCAGGACCTTATACTTTTGAGGCAGGGTTGGTAAATTGCCTGCCTTGGTCTTAAACTCAGTATGTAGTCAAGCAGGCCAGAACTTGTGATTCTCCTACCTCGGCATCCCAAATGCTGGGATTACAGGCATGTACCACCATACCTGACTCTCTCGTCATATTTTTATGTGTTTGAACATTTACATATCTACCTTTGGGAAAAAAAACCAATGCATTGTCACATCTTCCGAATCCAAACCAGGCACTGCTGATATTCTCAGCAACCTGAAAGGCTGAGGCTGATAATTAGAACCCTATAAATTTGAGGCCAGCTTGGGCAACAGAGTGAGACCTCATTTCCATAATGCAAACAAAATCCCTAAATCCACATAAGTTAATGTAGTGAGCACTGGTTAGTATTTACATATCTACCTTTGGGAAAAAAAACCAATGCATTGTCACATCTTCCGAATCCAAACCAGGCACTGCTGATATTCTCAGCAACCTGAAAGGCTGAGGCTGATAATTAGAACCCTATAAATTTGAGGCCAGCTTGGGCAACAGAGTGAGACCTCATTTCCATAATGCAAACAAAATCCCTAAATCCACATAAGTTAATGTAGTGAGAGCACTGGTTAGAATAATTGGGAATTGGCATGCCTGTGATCCCAGCACATGGGAGGTTGAGAGAGGAGGATTGGTGTGAGCCCAAGGCCATCCTGGGCTACACAGTGAGACCCTGTCTTAACAAAACAACAGATTGTGGAATTTAATTTGCTAAAATACATGGTACTTCTCTCTATTATGCAATAAAACTTATTAGCAAGATATCTAGGGTAAGAATTTTTTTTTTTTTTTTTGAGAGGGTCTCACCATGTAGTTTAAGCTGGCTTTGAACTCACTATGTAACCCAGGCTGGCCACAAACTCAATGGAAATCCTCCTGCCTCAGCCTCCAGAGTGCTGGGATCACAGGCATGCACCACCATGGCCGATGGGTAAGAATTTTTAAACCCCTTCTTACTCGGTTTCTGTTGTTGATATGTCTGCATAGTTCCTCGAGATCTTTGTTGGTTAACAAATTTTCTTTAATTTCCATTTTCTTATCTTTTGAAATGGCTGCCATTAATAGTCGGTGTACTACAATATCCGAGTATCTTCTAATTGGAGAAGTAAAGTGGGTGTATTTATCTAACGCAAGACCTTCAAAAAGAAACCACAGTGTCAAAATAAGAAATACACATATATGTCTTAAACAGCATACTCAAGGTTACAGCCACACTTGGGGAAATGTTCTGATTCACCGTAATGATGGAACTCTTCCTCTGCGCAGGACCCAGTAGAGAAATAGAGTGCATTGGACATGGCCTGCGTAGCCATGGAGCGCAGCAGCCGGTTCACGATGGGGTCGCTGGGGTCCTCTGCCTTATCCAGGGAATCAGCCAGGGTCTTATTGGACCTGACAAAGAAGACAAAAACCCGGATGTAGCCCTTGAAGGTAAGTTATAAGTCAGCGCTCCTAAGGGGAACCCTCTGCTCACTGATCTAAATACTTCTATCTCCCAGCAGTGAAATTTAGACATTTAGAAGTAACTCCAAAAAGCTAGTTTGCTTTTGAACAAAGAAAAAGTGTCAGAATTTTTTATAAATTTATTTTGTTTTTTTGAGATGGTCTCACTATGTAGCCCAGGCTGGCCTCGAACTTTTGGCAATCCTCCTGCCTCAGCCTCCAGAGTACTGGAATTACAGGCTGTGTACCACCACACTTGGCTTGAGTAAATTTCTTAAGTAGGAGAAAGTAATGTGCTGTTTAATGCTGGGGTGAGTAATGCATGGCTTTAGTACACAAGTTCCTGTTGGAGTGAATTTTTAATACATTTAACCTAATACATCTTCTACTGACCAACAAATGGGCTTTTTCTTCTTTTCTTTCTATTGAGAATCAGGGAGCTATAGGGAGTTTAAGACAAAGCAGCTGGCTGGGCACAGTGATGTGTGTCAAATAGTCCCAGTGTTCAAGTGGCTGAGACAGGAAGTTCACTTGAGCCCAGGAATTCAAGACCAGCCTGGGCAACACAGCAAGATGCTGTCTTAACCAATAACTAATTAAAGCAAAGTAAAATTATTTTATTTATTTATTTTGCAGTACTGGTGATCCAACCCCACTTTACTGCTGAGCTATATCCCCAGCCCTCTTTATTATTTGAGTCAGGGTCTAGTTGTTGCTCAGGCTGGGCTTCAATTTGTGATCCTCCTGTTTTCAGCCTCCTGAGTAGCTGGGATTACACCACTGGCTTATGCCACTGGTTTTTTTTCTTTCTTTCTTTTTTTTTTTAATTGAGAGCAATATAGGAACTAGTCTATTCTCAAAAAAATAATTTTTTTAAACTTCAGGAAATACAGAAGTATATTAGAAATGAAACTAATACAACATGATTTAATTCTGTATTATGGCTAGCTGCAAGTAAAAGAATGATAACATATGGAAAAAACATAATCAAGAGATCACTATTGTGATTTCAAATTTGATGGACTTGCATAAAAATTATGACTCAGTCCTAGGGGCCAGGGATTTGCCACAAGGGCCCAAGTTTGATCCCCAGTACCCACCCCACCCCAAAAATGATGACTCAGTCCTGTCCTAAAATAT